AGGCCCCACAAGTTGTAGCATAATGATATTTACTCAATATATGTTTCACCTTGTGTATGGCGTTAGTTGGTGACAACTGCTTGGTACCTACGATAGCTAGGTCTCGGCTATATCCAGTAATCTTACAGTGATCAATATGTCCCAGATATTTTCTATAAGGTGGGTACCAAGCATGAACTCCATTGCAACAGAACTAAGTTTTACATGGTCAAATTTTTTGTTTGCTTGTTTATTTGTGTTGTATTTTTACAGACTGCTGACTCTTACAGTAACGAATTGACTTTTTTAGCTCACCCAACGCCTATAGAATACCTGTTAGTTCAGGTGTGTACATTTTACTTTTTTGGTGTACTTTTGTTTTTGGATTGTTTTCCTCTATTTGGCTTACTATTGAATGAATAACATTAGTTACTTAAAACAAGAAGCACTTAAACATGTAAGGAAACATAATGTGGCGTGTTTTTTTGTTAGTTTTCTTGTTTAGATCTCTTTGTTTTTGTGTTTGTTCCATTTTGTTGTTTGTCTTTGTTGGTTTGTTAAATCCTCTTTTTTTTTTTAACCCTTTAACTCCCAGATTAAATTTGTAATTCTCCTTACTGTCAACCATGCAATTCTTATAATGTTAGTTCAGAGAATGTAGGATTGGATCAACTAATTAACCCCAAATTGATATTTTTCGTTATTCTCATTACTTGTTTGCTTGATATTGTACTAATAGTCTAAGAGGAAATTCTGCCTAGGTCACTAGTTAGACTTAAAGGGTTAATCTGTGATTTGCTTTTCCTCCAGGTGCTGACTGCTCTTCCCGTAGAACCTCAGTTTACTTTCTCCAGCCAAAGTCAAGGAGAACCTTTCCCACCAGAGAACTGCTCAAGTATGGGAGAAGGTCAGGTAAAAACATTACGAGCAGTTTTAATACTGCAAAGGTATCCCACATGTGGTTGAAGTTATAAAAACTCAGAGAATATGGTCTAACATTTTAACTGTTTAGTGCTGATTGGTGAGGAGATACAGAGAGGTTTCCATCAAAGCCAGTCACCGGTGGTCTACCGCCATATATAAGACCTCTGCCATCTGTTTAGCCTGTCTGTGAGTTTTGTCTTAAGCCTCTTTTTCGGGCACAGCTGACTGTAACAACATGGGCAGCCGCTTGTGGATAAGTATTTTGAAACACCTGGAAAGGTGTTGAGAGCACAGTACTCTGACTGTTTACATCACAAAGTATACAACCATTGCTATCCACTGTTGCTATCTAAATTATATTGTGATACAGGACGTGTGGTCAAAAAGAGCAGCAAAAATGGACAAGAACATCTCACAACAAGCCATATCTGAGTTGCTTGGAGCATTGTTATAAAATGTGGGCCTATTTGCTATAACCATATACTTGCAGAGGTGTTTAGTTTCACAATAAAGGTATTTTTCAACTGTTGTTTGCTATGTTAGGTAAAAATTGTACTCAGTAGCTCTGTACTTTGGTGCAATTCATGTAACTGTGTTTTTTTCTTTTCACTTGTGTGCAGGATTTTCACACTTTAGTGAGATACTTAAACCAGTTCCCTCCTGGTGAATTCCTACCTGCTATGTCCAATTTTCATTGCCTAGTTTTTCTGGCAACTTCCAACATCCTTCCTTTAAAGGTCATGTTCATTTGTTGGCTTCAAGCCTGTGATGAGATCACAGCTAATGAACTGCAAAGAGATGCTTTGTAGCCATAATCTGGTTTTGGCGTCAAATCAACAAACAGCAAAGAGAAGCTTTTAATTCTTTCTTGAATAAACCCAGGGCCAGGTTGTAAGTGTGAAATCTGATTTCAGATCTGAAAGTTTTTGAAGAAAATTCAGTCGAATTTCTTTTTGTCTAGAATATGACTATTTGACGCTTTAAAAAGAACACAGAAAATTATTCCAAAAATGCTTTTGAACAAAGGAAAAAAGAAATACAGATTGCAATTTAACCTTGGGTTAGTGCTAATGGGCTCTTGAACAACTGGGCCCAGAACCATAGCAACTGCAAAGACAAGTGGAAGATACAAAGGCAACATGATAAGCCAGTATGAACTGGAGTGATGAACAAAGTGACAAGCTCTAAGCAGGAGGAGGATGTGGCTGTAAACTTGATCAGAGGATTCTGAACACTCACAATGTAGCATAACCCTTTACACCCTAACATCAGTATGCATATTCTCCATACTGTTCTGTAAACATTTCCTAATATGCCGACATGGAGAACTGTCCAACAATCAAGAGCTTCTTAAGTAGGTGATCAGCTCCTTTATTCTCCTGACCTTAATGTTTGATTCAGGCGTGATATGGTAAGGAGAAATTAGATGCCAGTCACTCTCAGAGGTTCAAGGGTAAAAAAGCCTGAATCAATCTGTAGCTTGCACAACGGAGGGAAAAATCAGCCAGGCTGGATTCAATTACTTGTTCTTGTACTAAATTTATGTTGAGGTTTTCATGTCTCACTTCTGTTGATTATTTGTGTTGTGGCAGGATCACTTAGGAGATCTGTGTACGGCGATCAGAAACAAAAATGTTGAATTGGCTCGGCGCTTGAGTAAAAGTGAACAGCGGTGCACAGTGATACAGCTTATGCAAGCTGCAAAGGGTAAAATGGTTCCCTCAATATCTTTTTTCTTTCCTGTTATTTTCTGTCCCTCTTTTTTTTTGTTTTTTTTGTTTCAGTTTTTTTTATTGAATTCTCCCAACCTCCAGAGAGAGGGTCCATATGCTGGTATTGATTGGTTAAGTTTTTTTTTTTACTAGTTGAACAACTATTTTTTTTACAGTACAATTTTAATAAAATTGGAACCAAGCGCCTGCAGTATATTCTTTTTTTTTGTTTTTATAAAAGTAAATTCCATATTGTTATTTTATTTTCCCTTTACAAATTAATATATCTTATCAGGCATCTATGCTTACGGTTAAAATATTCCCTCCTCAGCCCCCTCACCAGAGCCACAAGGATCAGGGGAGGTGGACATGTTTGATATGTCCCATTCCCCCAGTGGTGCAGGCTGGTCGTGCAAGCACTGTACGCTTATGAACCAACACAGACACGAGAACTGTGACATGTGTGGCTTGCCTCAACACTGAGAAAAGAGATTAAAAGTTTGTTGGAAATCATTATTGCTAAAAGTCAAGATGAAACTGCAGG